CAACCCGCTCTACCACCTGACCTACTGCTGCTCATGCTGATGCATAACCATGACAACAAGCTGGTTTAAAATTGGGAGCAGCTGATTAACATTGGAAAGGCTGAAATAATACCTCAACTGAAGCCACAAATCCCAAATGAGCTAAAATGCAAGAAGTGTGGGTGCAGAGCGGGAGCAAAACGGAGACAGAGAAAGAGGAAAGTCAAACCAACTCTTCCATCGATCATAATGGGCAATGTGAGATCACTGGCCAACAAGATGGATGAACTCCAAGCCCTTTCAAGGTCTCAGCCAGAGTATCGGCAGTGCAGTGTTAGGTGTTTCACTGAGACGTGGCAGCAGGACCATATCCCCGATTCCAGCGTCTCTCTGCCAGGAATCCTGACTGTACGAGGAGACATAGATCTGAAGAGGAGCGGGAAAAGAACAGGAGGTGGAGTGGCAGTGCTTGTCAAAAACAGATGGTGCCATCCAGGTCATGTTTCAGTAAAATGTCATCTCTGCAGCCTAGATGTTGAACTCTTGGCAGTAAGTTGTTGCCCATATTATTTGCCAAGAGAGTTCACCAGTGTTATCTTGGCAACCATTTATATTCCACCTTCAGCCGAAAGTCTGCAGAAAGTGCATGTGATGCCATCAGTTCCGTTGTCGCTAAGCTACAAACCCAGCACCCCAATGCATTTGTGGCTATATCTGGTGATTTTAATCATGCCTCGCTCTCTGCTACACTTCCAACATTTCAACAGTTTGTCAGCTGCTCCACCAGAGAAAACAAGACATTGGATTTGTGTTATGCAAATGTAAAGAATGCATACATGTCCAAAACAAGACCTCCTCTAGGACAATGAAATCACAATCTTGTTTTTATCTGCTCAGAATACAAACCACTTGTTCAGAGGCAACCTGTGACAAGAAGAACTGAGAAAATGGTCACAGGACACTGTGACAGGACCACAGAATGATTTCGAATGATCTCACCCAGTGAGGTGGTGTATATGGAAAAGAGAAGAGGTCCTAGTACAGAGCCCTGGGGGACTCCTGTGGCAAGATGGTGCACGGTAGAGAATTGTCCAAGCCAAGATACACTGAAAGATCGTCCTGTGAGGTACGATTCAAACCAGGCGTGTGCTTTCTCTGTGATGCCCATGCTAGAGAGTGTGGACAAAAGGATGCCATAGTTGACAGTGTCAAATGCAGCCAATAAGTCAAGCAGGATAAGCACTGAGGATTTGGCAGTCACTCTAGATTCTTTTAAGGATTCCGTCGCTGCTAACAGAGCAGTTTCAGTGGAGTGGCCCTTTTAGAACCCAGATTGGTATGGGTCAAGCAGACAGTATTGTGAGAGGCATTCTGTGATCTGCTTGAAAGCCACCCTTTCAATGATTTTGGACAGAAAAGGGAGGAGAGAGATAAGTCGGTAGTTCTCCACATGATTTGGAGGAAGAGATGGGTTTTTTTAGCAGCGGTTTAACCTGAGCATGCTTGAGAGAGGTGGGAAATGTACCGGATGTCAGTGAAGCGTTGATCACATGTGTGACTGCTGCGGCTACTGTTGGAGCAATAGCTTGGAGCAGCTTAGTCGGAATGGGGTCGAGTGGGCATGTAGTAGGGCCAGGCACGTGCAGGGGGGGCGGAGGGTGCTTGAGACCCTGCCCCTTTTGTCCCATGTGGCCAAAGTGCTCTTTTTGAGGTTTAATGATTTTTTTATATTTATTTATTTATTTATTTATTTATTTTTAAAGAATTTTCTGTTTATGCCCCCTCAACAATAACAAAAATAATAATTAATAAAATTTCTGTTTAATAAAGTTATATAGCTGGCGTGAGTCACGTGACCATACCATCTTTTCCTCACGCCAGAGCGCACAGCCGGTTGAAAGCTGCAAGCACCCACGTTTTCTTCATGGCCGAGTGAGTGGTGCAGAGCTTTTAGGACATACATATTGATTGGGAGAAACGGACTAACACCGGTAAGTAGGATGCACACTACTATACAAAGTTATTAGATTATTTTGTACATTATTAAGTTGTTTTGTGGCACTGATCTACCTGTAAGTTTTTTTTTCTGCCTGCTTCACGTCAGCTGGATGGATTTAGAGCTTTTGTTTAAGTGCGTTTGAGTCTCTGGTTAGTGTGTGTGGAGCAGTCAGGTAGCTGCATGTCTGGGACAGAAAATGAGACATGAGAGAGACTTCTCCTGAAGTGTTGAAGAAACACACAACAAAGAATCATAGATGTTGATGTTTCTCACTCTAGATGAAGGCAACTGGACTTCTTTGATTTCTTTAAATCATTTCATTTCTCCTCTGAGGAGCTTTGTCAGTTCTAACTGGAATATGGGAGAGTCAAGCTTATAAGCTGTAGCTGTCTGTTGTTATTTAAAGAGCAGAAACTACTCTGAGTACCCCGCCTCTCCATCTCCTGATGAGTCGTTAGCCTCTATTGATGGTGAGTCATCATGTTGATTAGATGCAGGAAGGTGTGACCTAGAATGAAACTGAATGAGATTCAAAGCTGCATTATTGGTTCTGGAAAGGTGAAATCTAAGCCCCGCCCCTATTTAAAGTGGGATTTTCACGTTTTGACATAGATAGATTCTTTTACTCCTCTCAATCATCTGTCTTCTCTGTCCAGAATGTGGACTTTGTCATCTTCAAAGGTGTGTCCCTTGTCCTTCAGGTGAAGGTGGGCTGCAGAGTTTTGACCTGAAGAGGCAGCTCTCCTGTGTTGTGTTATGTTCTTGTGTAATTGTTGTTTAGTTTCTCTAATGTAAACATCTGCTGGACAGTCCTCACTACACTGGACTGCATAAACGACGCCACTGAGCTTCTGTTTGGGTGCTTTGTCTTCTGGATGGACCAGGTTCTGTCTGAGGGTGTTGTTGGGTTAAAGTTTACTGGGATGTTGTGTTTGGAGAAGATTCTTCTACATTTCTCTGAGACTCCTGCCACGTATGTGATGATGGTGCCTTTGTGTAAAGGGTGTTGTTGTTAGATTGGTAGCAGAGCTCTCATGTTTAGTGTTAAGTTCAGTGAGATCATGGAATGGGATCAAGAATTTTCTACTGACAGGAAAAAGATCTCAGCTAACATAGCTGTAGATCACACTGGATAAGTCTCTGTGGTTGCATTTATTTTACATTTATTTTACTACCTCTTACTAGAGCTTTTTTTAGTAGGCACAAAATATATTTGGTTGTACACCTGTGCAATAGCAATACATTATCTTGAATCTTAAATGTACTTCCTGAATGAGTGACCTTTTCAGGCTAAAATAGCAAAATGACAAATACAGACAGAAGGACGACTTATTTCTTCTTTTATAATGCGTTGCATCACCACCTGGTATCAGAACAGGACTCAGTATTGGAAGATAATCAAAAATCAAACAACTTGGACTCGGATCAGGGGCAAAAATGTGGTTGTAACATCTCTAGATATAAGTCAGCTTTAAAAACTAAAACTATTATTTATGAACTAATATTAACACTAATGACACTAATTGATATATTTTTATTATGTTGTTTGAACCCAAGTTTCTCATTATCTGAATTTTCTAACTTGTTGGATTGCTCTATAAGTGCCCCTTTTTTTTTTTTACTTTGAGCACCCGCCCCGTCAAAGGTCTCTGCATGGCCCTGAGTAGGGCGGCTGCACGTGAGAAGCTTGGACACAGTTCTCAGTGAGAGGGGAAAAAGAGGAAAATGAAGCAGTAGGGCTTGAGATGGTTGGACTAGAAGGAGTTTGTGGTAGCGAATGTTCAGGAGTGGCCAGTTGAGTAAACTGTTTGCTTATAGCTGTCACTTTGTCAGTGAAGAATGAGGCAAAGGTGTCAGCTGATAGACTGTTGGCAGGAGGTGGAGACGGAGGGTTGAGCAACGTTTTGAATGTCGAAAATAGTTTCTGAGAGTCAGTAGAGCTGAGAATTTTGTCAGTGTAGAAAGCTTTCTTTGCATCAGTGATGCTGGCAGAGAATGAGGACAGTAATTCATGAAATTTCAATTGATCACCAGGATCTTTTGTTTTGCACCATTTCCGTTCCGCAGCACTAAGATTGGTGCGTAAAGAATGGAGGGTATCATTTAGCCAAGGGTGTGACTGAGAGGATCTAGCAGGTCTAGTGGCTAAAGGACACAAGTTGTTAAGACAAGACTAGAGTGTAGAGCAGAGTGACTCGGTGGCATCATTCACTTCATAAGCAGAGAATGTGCTGGGAGATGGAAGAGTGGAGGCAACTTGAGAGGAGAAGTGGTTGGGTCCCAGATTGCGGAGGTTTTGAAAGTTGCGAAAGCGGTTTGCTGTGTGTGACCTTCCTCTGAAGCCAGTGATCACAGGTATAGGATAATGTCACATTTTGCAAGGTGCTGATGGAGCAGCGTCTGGGTCGAGTTTGTTTGCTCTGTGTACCTGCTCTGTGGACATGCGCAGGTAGACACGTATGTCTTTACCCCGGAGGGGCTGAGACACAAGGGCTGACGCTTCAGTTATGCCACCAAACTTATGCTGTGCTACTGGTTGGAAACAGGTGTTCATGCAACAGCTGATTGCAATGGTTGAGACCTGGATCACCTGATGAGTGTTTTCAGGGATGGGAGAAACAGCTCGTTCACAGCCCCTGATTGCACTTATTGTTTTCAACTGGCCCAAACCGGAGCTACTAAACAGGATAGCCCACAGATGAGTTTCCTTCTCTTTTCCCAATGGAAGATAGTGCAAAGCAAAAGTTTAAGAAGACAAAAACAAGCGCTAACAGACACTCAAGGCCCTTTGGTGCAGATTCAAGTCACATGGACAAGTGGGTTCAGCAAAGGGATGGATGTTTAATTTACAAACAAACAGGGATGTTCTGGGTGCTGTATTATTTGTGTGAGGTGTTTAGAGAAGAGAAGCCATGTTTTAACTGCTTCAACAAACAATTGAAAAAAAAAAGAAAATGTAGAAAAAAGTAGTTTTATGGTGTTTCACCTGGTGGTCATAAGATGAATTATAAACACAACACACTGAATTGTATTGCTTTTATTTCTGAATTTTTGCAGCAGACATTGGGGACAGCAACCTCTTGCTGGATCACAGCGAGACCTCCTGTTTGGAAGTGCTCACCACCTTCCCGTCCACCACCTCCTCTACGATGACAATCTGTTTCTTTGTGGTGGTGACGACAGGGGCAGAGGAGGAGACGGTGGTGGTCTTCTTGGAGGTGGTTTTTGAGGACATGCTGCAAATAAAATCAACAGAACATCTGAATATTGATGTTTGCAATGCATCTCAGTTTACTTCAGCTAATTAAATAAAAGTTCATGTTTTCAAAATTGTAATAAAGTATTATTCAAATGATGTTTGATAGAGAAATGCATGAAGTTTGGTCTGAAAACAATAAATTAAAAACTTCTAGAAAAGTTAAATGAAACATTTCAGTCATAAAATAATTTTAGCAATAAAAATAGAATAGCATAAATGTCTGCTGTGGTAAACATGACGTAAGTTATGTTTTGACTTAATTTAGCAAACTTATCTGGCTCCTTGCTTTTATATCACTGACTTTAAATGAATGTTTGCCTCTATGCAGATGACACAATGCTGTTTCTATCTGTCTCTTACTGTGCTCCCAGTGTACAAATATGGTTTTAAAGACCTTTTGAATGTTTCAACTGATAAAAAAAATCTGCATTTTTTATTAATTAACAATCTTTAGAGTCAAATGTTTTTAACAAACACACAATTAAAACATCTAGCATGTTATGGCTAATTCATTTCTTATAAAACCCTGATAAAATCTGCCTTTTAAATGAAATTAAAGAATTAAATTAAAAATGTTTTTGTCTTTTTATCTCACCTGCTGCTACCTCCTTCCCCGTCCAGCAGCCGTCTATACTCAGCGATCTCCAGCTCCAGCCTGGTCTTCATGTCCAGCAGAATCTGATATTCCTGGCTCTGCCGCTCTAGGTCTGACTTCAGCATCATTAGCTGTTCTTCCAGAGAGCTCACCTGTTGCTGGTAACCTGCCAGACGCATGGCATAGCGGTTCTGAGTCTCGGCTAGTGTTCCCTCCAAGCCTGCTTTCTGTTGGAGACAAAGAGGAGATGTTGTGGTTAGATGATGGTCTCAGTATAAATTGTAGATTACAACAGACTGGTTTGATGCTCACCATGGAGAGCTGAGATTGGAGCTCAATTTCTAGGCTCTGAAGCAGTCGTTTAAGGTCTGTGATCTCTGATTTGGATGTTTGCAGAGTTTCTGTGCTGGCGGCGACTTCTTTGTTGAGGTTTTCTGTCTGAAGAGGTAAAACAGGAGCATTTCATTAAAACTGTTCAGATCATTTAAATGTTCGGCCTTTTAAATAAACATTTTAACCAGTTAAAATTTCTCAGCAAATCAGCCCCTTTAACTCCATAAATTCACAGAAATGTTTTACACAGGCAACGTGAATTACAATGAGAGTAGGATACTTTTACAAGAACTAATTCAGTATGTAGGAGCCAATATTGTCTTGGTTTACATTATATTATGGTCTAAGTTCGTTTTAATAATGTCTCATATATATTTCAGTTTATTGCACAATGGTTTGTTTTTCGACCACTGTTGGCACTGCAGAGCCTAAATAGGTGTCAGGGTGGCAGTGCACTGGTGTTTTGGGTGACAGGAGGTCACACGATTTTTACCGCTTCATTTGGTTTCATTCCACAACTAATTTGCCGTTGTAATTTTTTTATCATTTTCATAACCTCGACAAGATATCGCTATTCTGGAACCTCCATAATTGTGATCGTCAACATCTTCAATAAATGGGATAATAAACCCAAGCCTGCTTTCTGCCTGGACAGTAGTGTTGAAGCGAGTCATTGCCTTCACCTGCACCCAAGGGTGACTAAAAGTGGGAATTGATAGTCACTACACAGTATAATAAATACTTTGATCGTTGTTTCTGATGTCATGGTGATCCAAATCACTCTGTTTGGACCAGATGGCATCAGAACAGAAAGATCAGGCTGTGAGGTAATTACAGGGTTCACCCTCAATAACAACAAACCCAAGTTTAGATACACATCATCAAATTATTGACTGACTGAATTAATCATCACCTGCAGGTTCAAAGTGAGTGAAGAAAACAGGACCTCACCTTAGACTGGAACCATGCCTCCAGGTCTTTGCGGTTCTTGGCAGCGAGAGCCTCATAGTGTTCTCGCATCTCCTCCATGATCTTGTTGAGATCTTGTCCTGGAGCGGCCTCAACCTCCACGTTCACATTGCCACTCATCTGAGTACGCATTGCCATCAGCTCCTACAGGCAGAATCATGGTTAGTACTTCATCAGCATCTTCACACTGACAGTTCTGGGTGTCCTGATTCTTTTAAGGGTGTAACTACAGATTTTTCAGTGTTTCTTCAAGTACAAGATGGGAAAAAAGACTCTTCCATTATGAATAAAAGTAATTAACACTTACAGTGCTATAGTATTTGTGGAGTTGGATTTTTCTGATCCCAGAAGCAGAACCTAACCCAACAACCCAATATCACCTGTGAGCTGTCTCACCTCCTCATGGTTCTTCTTGAGGAAGATCAGCTCCTCCCTCAGACCTTCAATTTGCATCTCAAGGTCAGACCTGGCCAGCGTCAGCTCATCCAGAATCCTCTTGAGCCCGTTAATGTCAGCCTCTACTGACTGGCGCATGCTCATTTCATTCTCATACCTGAATGAGACACCAACAAAGTGATTCTGAACCTGTCTCCTTGTGAAACTGCAGCAAGAACCAGACTGATGGCTTGTTTAGTAAATGGTACAACCAGTTCATTCACTCATTCACACACATTCACATAAAACTAGTCTGATTGAATGGAGCAGACATAAGTGACTTTTGTCAGGCACATTAGATGTTTTTCAGGTTCCTTTACTTTGAAACTGTTTGTAACTGACCCATTCACAGATTACTTTACTTACTTGAGCCTGAAGTCATCAGCGGCCAGCTTGGCATTGTCGATGCCCAGGTAGAGGCCTCCGTTGATTTTGGTTGCATCCTGGATCTGTGGGGACAGAAACATGGGTTTAGAAGTATTCTAACATCTGAGTGACTTTCTGAAACAATGATATGAGAATGTGTGGACATTTTGTGGCCTGAACCTGGGCCTGGACTCGGGCCTGAGTTTGGGTCTGAACCTGAGGCTGGACCTGGACTGATGAAACTCCTGGTTCAGATTGTACCAAAGTCTTTTCCCCTTTTCTTTTCTGTATTTTCCTTCCATATGTTTTGATGCTTTTACAACAGTTTTTCCTTCATCTGGACCCCTCAGACAAAAGGTTTCCTACCTTTCCTTGCAGCTCTGCTATGGTGATGTAATAGGCGCTGTAGTCTCTGGAGGAGGGAGAAGTCTTTTTCTCAAGAAAATCCCTGATCTTCTTCTCAAGCTCAGCATTGGCCGCCTCCAGCTTGCGGACCTTTTCCAGGTAGGAGGCCAGGCGGTCATTCAGATTCTGCATGGTGGCCTTCTCATTGGCAGAGACATTCATGCTGTCACCACCACCTGCTCCACCACCTGCTCCGCCACCAAAGCTGAAGCTATAGCTGGCTCCACCACCACCGCCGCCACCACCACCACTGCTGAACATGGACATGCTGGAGGCAGCGGATGACATCCTCATCCGAGAGTCCCCGATGGATCCGTACATGGACCTGCTGCTGCCCATGTAGGCTCCACCTCCAAGAGATCTGGAACCAAATGTTGACATGGTGATCTAGGTTTGGGTGGTGGTTTCAGCTTCAGCTAAAGAGGAGCTAGTGGAGATCTCAGACAGCAGCTGGACTTTTATACTGTTTTCTGGGGTCCTGAGGAGGAGGAGGAGGAGGAGGAGGAGGATGGTGTGCTGGCGCAAGATTTGGGAGGAGACACCTGTTCTTTTACATCTTGTAAAGACCAGAAGAATGTAGGAGTGTCTGAGACAATAAGGAGCCAACGATTACCTGACACGAAGACTTAAGCATGCCAACTTTCATTTCACATCTTAGGAGCCGAAAAGAGAAAGGCCAGTTCAGACTTGGAAAACATTAAGTTAAGTGCACCAGGAATGAAAAACCTCAGCCCAGAGAGGAGTGCCTTGTATGTTTGTGTGGCCAGGTGCTTGAGAAACAAAAAAATAAAAAAAACAAGAGATTAAAAGTACTGATGGTGTTGTTTCTGTCAGGGCTAATCTTCTGCTTCTAGAGCCGACAAGGGACAAGAAGTGCTGTCAGGATCATTAAACCATTACAGAAACATGAGGAAACTACCAAGATCATCATCTTTAACACCTTCAGTTTGACAGGCAAATTATTTTCTGAGAATAATCCTACCTGGTTCCATTCCAGGACTAAATCAGGTGCAAAGACCTGTTGTCTTTTGTTTCAGTTAGCATAGATTTTAAACCTGAATTCTTCCAGAAACTCAGCTCTACACAAGCTCCAACAAAAAATAAGAAATATGACTGAAATGTTCTGAACTATGAGATCCATCCTGTTGAAGCTTAGATCCACCTACAGGACATTTACACACAACTGCATCAGAAACCAGACTCTGTTTTGGTCCTTTGGTTCTAAATGAGTAAAGTGGGCTTTTCCAGCGCCAAGTCCTTTACAAAAGCAGGAACTCGGTGTGCTGCTTAAGATCATAAAGCTGAGTGGCATCACAAGACATCAGCAATGACCCTAAAGAAGCAGCTGTTTCTACCCATCAGTGCATACAGGTACTGCCTGCTACAGTTTATCAGACTCCCTTTCATCACTGGCAACAAGTGAAGAGGTAAATGTGTAAAGCAACGTTTATTAATGGTGAAAGTTTTGTAACAATTTGTTACAAATCAGTAAATGCATTTTGTCCTCACAGACTTCCGTAGAATGAAACATGGCATCCAAAATGGTGTCGGCCAGAGACTAGACCCACTCCCATGTAGTTTGGAACAGATTTTCATGGTTGTATGATATGAAACTGCCAGTATTTTTCAACAACTGGGTATCTTTTAAGTCTTTTACTACAACAGTTGGATAATTCCAGAGATTACTGGTAAAAACTATACATTGTCTCTTTAAGTTACGTGTAATCAAATTTACTATATGGCAGGATAAGCTGTGAGGCATTGTAATCAGCGTTTATTTTTATGTAAACACAAAGACACACGTTAAATCAGATGTTCGTCTTCCTGACATATATAGTTTTATCACCAATTTGAATTCTTTAAATAGGACATGAAATCTTTTAAACAGTTTTGACTCCAATGTTAGGCTTTTGTTTGTTGTTTTAAACTGATGTCATTGTAAAGCTATTTGGATCGGTGTCTTCATTGTTTCAAAGAGCTATATAAAAAATCTTATTTTTGTGTCCCAGAGTGGAAATATTTACCCACAATGCATGGCATGATAACAGCTGATCCTAGTTGTTTTGCAGCCACAGGACTCTCTGAGTCCAACATGAACTGATGTGTTGTAGAAGAAGGACTTTTATTTATTTATACAGCTTTTTCACAAGTAAAAGTGCTTCACTGAATAGAATGTCAGCTTTCAGTGTGATTAGTGCAAAAACGCTGGATGACATAGTAAATGCCTTAAACTCATCTACCTGCTGTCTGGACACCCTGCCAACTAATTTCTTTAATAATGTTTTTAGCTGCGTGAAAGTGAATGAACTGAAAAATGTTAATTGCTCCTTAATGTCAGGTATTTTTCCCAAATCATTGAAAGCTGCTGCTGTTAAGCCTCTGCTAAAGATAGTAATAATAATAATAATAATAATAATAATAATATTACATCTAACTTATATAGCGCTTGTTTAGGACACTCAAAGAAGCTTTCAAACACTCTCACATTCACACACTGCCAGTGATGGTAAGCTGCTTTGTAGCCGCAGCCGCCCTGGGGCAGTCTGAGAGAGGCGAGGCTGCCATTTGGCGCCTTCGGCCCCTCTGACCACCACCAACACAGGCAAGTTGGGTGAAGTGTCTTGCCCAAGGACACAACAGCAGAATACCTCTAGCAGGAGCTGGAATTGAAACCGTGACCCTCCGATCTTGGGGCAACCCGCTCTACCACCTGTGCTACTGCTGCCCCTAAAGATGAAAAATTTAGATCCCTCAGTGATAAATAACTACAGACCAATCTCTAATCTTCCCTTCATTGGGAAAATGATTGAAAAGACAGTTATGATCCAGCTGAGCAACCTTTTAGAGACATCCTGCTCAGGCTTTAGACAACACCACAGCACTGAGACTGCACTGATTAGGATAAATCAATATTCATCTAAATATGGGTTCAGGCAAAACATTTGTTCTGGTGATTCTCGATCTCAGTGCAGCTTTTGATACTGTGGACCATAACATCCTTTAGGCTCATAAACCAGGTACTTTCAGGCACAGTCCATAGTCTGATCATATCTCAATGACAGGGGTTATGTTGTCAATATTGGTGAACACAAATCAAAACTGATCACCATGACATGTTGGGTCCCCCAAGACCTCTTGGCCTACTGCTCTTCAATCTCTACATGCTCCCCCTGGGTCAGGCCATAAACAATAACAACATTACCTATCATAGTTATGCAGACGACAACCAGATCTACTTAGTTTTATCACCTAGTGACTGTGGTCCCCTAGACTGACCCTGTCAGTGTTTGGAGCAAGTCAATGACTGGATGCAGTCAAACTTCCTCCAGTTAAAGGGACTGTGGTTTTTTTACTGTTAATCTGTGGAAATATCCATCATAGTGTTATTAAAATGAATAAAATGATGTCCAGTCATTGAAAAATATTAGCCACTTTGTGACACACACCATAAAAATTGGGTCTAAAGTACATATGGCGCAGTACCAGTGTCTTTGGGGGATGCCATATAAGATGCCATGTTTCCTTCTGGCCGGCTCGTGGTCTTGTACCTGTCGATGATGTCTCACTAAATGATTTGCTGGTCATATGACTTATAGAAGTTAACGTTATCACGTTCAAAAACATTTAGATAGTAAAAAACATGAATTTAGTAACAAAACTGCTAAACTCTTTCTAAAACCTATGTGAAAAATAGAATTAAAAAAGATGCAAAAAATGTTACTGAGTGGTAATGTCGTAGTATGATGATGTCATCAACAAGCGCAGGACTCTGAGTAGATCCGGAAACTACAGCACCAGAAAACTACAATCGGCATTGCATTATCTCAATGGAAATGACTGAAGAACCATCAAAGTCTGAGGGGTGATGCCAAGTTTGTATGCTTTCTGCTCCACAGGTAACAACATTTACCGTAATGCTTTTTTAAACTAGTGACAGTCATGGTGATATAGTGTAAAGCTACCCTTAAATGTATGTACTGCCCCTTATTGCATGGAAACTCCACACTACCACCTTAAACAAAGACAAGACCGAAGTTTTTGTCTTTGGAAATAAGAAAGATAGTAACTTGCCTCCAGAGGGAAAAAAAAGACTCGGGTTATATAAAACTTGGTGTCAAGACTGTTTAATAAGACACACTGTGCCGGCAAATCAGCGTAATACTGCTGCCACGGCCTGTCTCATGAATGCGAGAATTTTGTGGCATTCATTCCAACAAGCTTGGCAGTAATTACTGCAACACCTGACTTGTGAATGCGTATTACACATTGGTGCAACAAATGACCGTGTCATGCTCACGTGGGGAGTTACTGCCAAGCTCCAGCCAGCAGCTTTTTTAAAAATGAATGTTAATACAGGCAGTAAGTTTCACTTTGTTAACAGAATCAACTGAGATGATGAACTGGAGCGATGCAGATTCCAGGAGCTTCTCTCCGTTAGAGTTGCTCAGATCACACAGAGACTATGGAGGTCAGACACTTTTAGGAGTGGCTTGTGAAAAAATTAAAGGAGTTAAATGGAAGTCTGTGACAGCTCAGAGACTGCCCCATACCCCCTTTTTACTGCCATAGTGTAATATTTTGTAAAAAGAACATGACCTCGCCACTTTACCACAGAATCAAATCTCAAAGTGCTTCTATTAGCCACAGCCAGCCTGAACAGTCTATGTGCGTGACCTTTGATTGATTCTTCGTCACTACCTTCTCCTCATTCAGCTACCAATTCTGCCTTTCTCGGGATCCACTGATTACCTCTCTCTTAGTCGTTCTCTCTTTCCTTTTCCCAACATATTTTAATCACAATATTTCAATTTTTATGACATTTTTAAATAATTTTTGATTTTTTACATTTTTGGTTTTATGAAGCGCCTTGGGATTTGTATCTTGAGAAGCACCATATAAAAGATAATTTCTTCTTCTTCTTCTTCTTCTTCTTCTTCTTCTTCTTCTTCTTCTTCTTCTTCTTCTTCTTCTTCTTCTTCTAAATCACTCAGTGGCATGGGGCCAGAATACATGTCAGATCTCCTTCAGGTAAATACGCCCAGCAGGGCTCTGAGTTCCTTGGGAAGCAGTCAGCTGGTAGAACCTCTGGTCAGAACCAAACAGGGTGAAGCTGCTTTTACCTACTATGCTGCACACAAATGGAATCAGCTTCCTCATGACCTCAAATGTGCCCCAACTCTAGAAACTTTCAAATCAAAATTGAAAACCTTCATGTATTCATCAGCCTTTAAATGACTTATACGGAACCTTCTGCACTGTAACTGCTCACCTTTAACTTTGCTTTTTTTCTTATTCTTACGTCTAATTTTATTTGAGTGATTTAATTTTGATTTTAATGGTGGAAAACACCAAAGCAACATCTGGTGCATGGAGGTTGTAGTTGCAACAATTGAACAAGGTTTCCAGCTGTCAGGATACCAGGTTCGCTGCCGATAGGAG